TTTCTTTTGTTTCCTTTAAACAGATGTAAAATGATGCTTAGATTATTTTTTATTTTCTGGTGTGTTAGCAGCTTCTTAATACTTTTGTGGTAGGTTGTTTCTCTTGATTAAAAAAATAAACAAGTATAGACCATCTATAATCTAAGTCGGAAACATAAGAATTCACAGTGTAGGTGATGGTTGGATTTTGCTTTGGACTTTATCAGGAAAAGCAGCTGTCTGGTTAGACAGTTTTCTGACATTTAGAATTCATTGCTTATGTGAGATAGTAAAATACATGTAGTTGATTAAAGAAAGGAAGTTTGTTATTTAAGGAAAAGGGGGATTATTCAAGCAGAACACTTTCATTTTGTTTCATTTGTTTGCTAGTGTTCTTATGAAAACTGCCTTGATAACCACTTCAGCCAAGATGGTTTGGCTCTTTTGTTTGTGTGTGTGTGTGTGTGTGTGTGTGTGTGTGTGTGTGGTTTTCCTCCTTTGCACATCAGCACTGTGGTTATTATACCAGCTACCAAGAAATCTCAAGTGTCTTTTGCTTATAAGTACTATCAGTGCTCACTAGGCAATGTCTCACATTCTCTATAAAGATTTAAAACAAGAAATTGAAAGAATTTTGAAGCATGCATTTCTGAGTTGCTCATATTTAAATGTTTTTTGTTTTATTTTCATTTTCTTGGTTAGGGTTGAAATGATAGGAGGAACTTGTATATTTCTGTCTTTGAAGGTAATCCCTCACTTAGTATCCCTAGGAAGAATCAGATCATTTTTTTTCCAGGTAAGAGTTTTCTGCTCAGGTCTATCCTTAGTGGACAGAACAGTCAGACTTGGTGTATTCCCTAATTATCATCAATGACTTGGAGTATCAAAGACACCCTCCTTCAGAGAATTCAGCTCATGAAGGTCAATCTTTGCTTAAATAGGGATGTTAGTTCAGTTTGGCATAGCTACTCCCCTCAAACTGATTTTCTTTCGCTATTCTTTTCTAATTTTTTTTTTCTGCTGAAGGAGAAAGAATGCATAGTAAATGACAGTTCACCAAATATCTGTGGCATTTGGTGGCAGAAGTTTTTTGTTTTAATAGCAACAGATAGATGAAAGTTCCCAGTCACATGGGGTTTGCTCCATTTTCTTTTGTTTGACGCCTTTTTTTTTTTTTTTTTTGGCACCGGGGAATGAACTCGGGTCCTTGTGCTTGCACAGCAGGCACCAAAACCTCTGAGCTAAATCCCAGGCCCGTTTGATGCCTTCTTATAGCAAAAAAAGAAGTTGAAGGCCAGGCTTGTTTGCTTTTAAGTTCAGAAGAATCTAACTAAGAGATCAGCTCTGTTCCAATAAACCACTGTGCTGAGACCTTTTTGAAGAATTTTGGAAAGTGAAAGCATATTGTTTATTGCTATTAGGAAATCTTTAAAGTAAATAAATAAAAGGCTAGATAATCTTCTTTGATCTTCCTAATGGCATAGATGGTTTGTGACAGAGAGCTTAAAAATATATTAAATTTGTCTTCACTTCTTGTGTTCTTGGTAAAAACAGAGAAAACAGTTTTAATCCAGTGACTTTGGCTTATGTCAGTAGGGCCAAATGTTCATTAATTACCCATTGCAGATTGAGTCCAGGACCATTTGGTAACAAGTTGAGTGGTTTTCAAGTAGGTACTTCTTCAGTATGTTAAGCAAGTGTCCATATGAGCTGTTAATCAGTAAGACTTATGACCATAATATAGAGGAAAATTAAGTTTCAGCTGGCTTGTGGATTTGGAATCATGTCTCAGTAAACTGAAAACAATTTAGTTTTGAGACAGGGTCTCGCTATGTAGGCCCAGGCTGGCCTTGAACTTGCAGCAATCCTCTTGCCTCAGCTTCCTGAGTATTAAGATTACTGGTATGCGCCACCATGCTCCACTATGAAAACAAATTTGTGTGAAAAACTCTACTAGAAGTATATTTCATAATGCATCGAAGGGAAATGGTTTCTAAATCTCAGACACTGCCCTGAGAACTGAAAACTGCTGGTTTGTTTAAACGAGTAGTTTGAAAGCTGGAAGGTTGTTGTTGCTTAATTCCTGTAGAATATTGGAACTGACCAGGAAGGAGAGAATCAGAAAGATACAACTTGAAAACAAGTTCTGTCCACAGTGTTCTCATTGATCACTTTGGAAGATCAAAATTAGTAGCAAGTTCTCAGGCAAATCTCCCACCTTTGATGTTCCACATAGGCGTCTAAAATAGATATTCAATAAACCAAAATTTAAAAATGCACTTTTATAATGGGGATATACAATAGTAAAATCTAATTAAAAATAGTTTTCATTTAATCACAAGTGCTCTAAGTTACTTTTTAAAAGAAAAAAAAAGGATAGGAAATGTTTGTAAGTGAGCTGAAGGAACTTTGGAGGATCATAGTTTGATTGAAAGATGTTAATACAAAATATTATATATGGATAATTTAACAGGCACCTAGGTACCCATCACTGAAAATGAAAAAATAGTAACATTTGTCATAGTCCTTCTGATTATTTTTCACCTTTAAAGAAGCCGTTACAGGGCCGGGGATTTAGCTCAGTGGTTTCTCTGCCTGCTGCGCAAGCGCAAGAACCCAAGTTCGATCCCCGGTACCAAAAAAAAAGCCATTACATTTGAAATTGAATTTCCCTATGTTTTCTTGCTCCAGAATGCTTCTTTCTCCCTTAGAATAAGCACTGTCACAAATTCAGTGTATATGTAATCTGTGTTTTACAGTTTCATCTCATAGAAACAAAGTTTTTTGTATTTTGAGTTTTTTTAGTTTACATAAAAGGTGCCATATGGTGCATCTTATTGCATAATCTGCTTTATTCTCCCCAGTGTTTTGTTTTGGGGACTCAGCATATTGAAACACATAGATCTAGATCACTGACTTTTAGCTCTTCTGTGGTATCCTGCTATGTAAATATAATCAGATCTGTTCCACTGCTCAGTCATTTGAGTTATTGTCAACTTCTTTCTGTTACAAACAGTGCTACCAGGGACGTCCTCAGTATGTTTATCACTAGGCTTTATATCAAGATGGGCTAATTCCTCAAGTGGGCACATTTTCAACTTTATTAGAAGTTGCTAAATTACTCTCCAAAGTTAATGTAGCAATTCTTGATCCTTTAGCAAATGCTGGGTATCTTCGTTGTCATATCCTCACCAGGGCTTAAAACTGGGGGAAATGTGGTCCCGCTTCTTTTACAGATGAGGAAAGAGAAGTGTGTGGGGAAAGAACTTTTACTAGAGTAACACTAAATAACAGAACCAGGACCTAACTCAAGTATAGTTTGACAGCCATTTGCTCTGTTATCCTCGTAGTGTTAATAAACTGACACAGTAAGTTTCATATACCATAATCAAGGTTGTGTCAGGGCGCTGGACTTAGATAAAGAGGCATGAGTTCTACAGACAGACATCTGAGTAGGTGCCATAGCCCGGCACTGTGCTAAAGAGACTTGAAGAGTAATGGGTGAATGGCCTCTGCCACGGAAGAGCACTCAGTGCAGAATAACCTGACATAATTCCAGTGCAGTGTAACTGGTAGTATTTAGGAAGAGACCTATGAACCATGTGGGCATTTCAAGAGTAACTATTGCAAAAGGAATGGAAAGGGCCCTTGAGGTTGGGGTTTCCGGCAGTGTCTTTTCTAATGTCTTCATGTGCCCTCCTTGCCATCATCACTCCAGCAGGCCCCCACCCCCGGTCCGTATGTCTGAGCCTTAGAAAGTATCTTGGCCCATAATTCATGAGTTCGTCTGGACATGTGGACAGGATCTGTGATGCTTCCTGAAGCAGTATGTGAGACAGTGCCTAGTAGATGGTACCCCAGACTCCTGAGTGAACTTGTCCTCATCAGGTGTGCCCAAAGACAAAACTTACTTGTTCCTGCTTCACCTCTGACTTCTTGCCACAGTTCAGTTTTATGACTTCATAGCAACAGTAAGAGCTGATGATAACCCTTCTGAGGCATAGAGTGATTTGAGTTTTACATCCTTGGTCTTTGAAGACCAAGGGGCTGAAACATTAAAAGAATTTTGAGATAAAATTGTGTTGGCAAATTGTGGTCTCTCTTTATCTTTCAGGACATCTCCCATCTTCTCCAGTTTAAGTTCCCAGGGGTGCTTTGAGGTAGTTATGGTCACCTTGCTTGTGTGACTCTTAAACTCGAAGGGTTGTGACAAGCTCAAGGTAGTTTATTATCCCGAGAAGAAGGGTAACCAGGTACATTTTCATATCCACGTTGTTAGTTACTTTTCTCTCATCACTGAGACAAAATACCCAACACCCAAAGTTAAAGCAGGGAAAGGCTTATTTGGCTTACAGTTCGTAGAGGTTTTAGGCCATAATTGGCTGCCTCCAAGGCAGGGTGGCAGAGAGTGGCAATAGTTTATGGCAGCACAAGCAGCAAAAGCAACAAGAGAACTGTACCAGCGCCTTCATGCCCCTTTGGTCTTACTCAAACTACTTAGGACAGGTAGCACTCACACCCTTAGTTCCAGTGCCTTTGAGCCTAGCCCCACCATGACTCAATCACACACTCTAGATTCACCCACCTCTGGAAAAGCATGAGGCTTTGAGGAGACATCTAACACAAGCTATAACACATGTCCTCCACTTTGATACAGTAATGCAAACATTATAATTCCCTGTTAGTTGGGTTTATTTATATATTGTGATTTAGACATGCCTATTCATGGCAGACACTTAAACTTTTGCTTTTGATAGCATCTTGGGTTTCCTGCCTGAGAAGTTCCAGAGTTCTCCTTTTTGTTAATCAGAAATCACATCTGCTCTTGTTTGTGCTCCAAATGATATCGTAGGCCTGCTTCCTAGAGGAGGACTGCACAGTGTAACTGGGGTTTATAGTGACATTCTCATAAGTGACTTCACTTGGAAACCAGTAGGCATCTCACAGTGTAGCAGTGGCAGAATCAGAATCTCAGTCTGTTTGTAGCTTTTTTGTGACCTTGAGTTTTGCGTTCTTTTCAGATTGCAGTGCTTTTGTCCACAAAGGCTGCAGAGAAAGTCTGGCCTCCTGTGCAAAGGTCAAAATGAAGGTAAGACATTTGTGGCTAAAAGAAGGCTTTAAAGAAAAAACCCTTAAAGTTAAAATAAGAGAGTATAAATTAGCAAAATCCTTAGGAATTAAGAGTTGAGGTCTCAGTTTTTATTTAATCATTGGTACTAACTTTAAGACCAAAATAATTTTTCTCTAAAATGGTCAGTTCAGGGGCTGGGGATTTAGCTCAGTGGTGTCACCGCCTGCCTCGCAAGCACAAGGTCCTGAGTTTGATCCCCAGTACCCCCTAAAAAAAAAGATCAGTTCTCAGTTTTCTCAGGAATTTTAGGCTTTTGGAAAAGAAATTCTTTCAGAATTTCTATGTGTTAAATATGCTGTTCTCTGTGATTTTAATATTTGTGTTGCTCTTTTTAAAAATTTATTTTTATCAGTACATTTGTAATATATGATTACATTCACTTTGAGGAGTTGATACATGTACATAACACATCTTAATTCTTTTTCTGTTTCTATTAAAGTGAGTTTTTAAAAACCATGTCTGCAGGCCTGTTCTGCTATTCACACACTTGGCTTCTTTATTTGGGACTGTGAGGGCAGTGGATAGAAATCATGGGCTTGTGATACACTGATGAGCAGGGGGCTGCTCTGTTTAGACCCATCGTGTGTGTTCCACTTTTCTTCACAAGTACATGCAGATCATATGATCATATGATATAGTAATACAAAGTGTCGATTATATGGTGGTACCTGCTCTGAGCATGCTATATAATAATGTACACTGATTTTCCAGAAACTCTTAAAAGAAGAATATGGGAGCTATGGATGTATCTCTGGGGTAGAGCACTTGCCTAGCACCAGTGAGGCCCTGTGTTCAATTCCCTGCACTGGGGGAGGGGCTGGGCTTGGGGGGATACCTTTAAAGTAACTTGTGTGCGCTGTCACCCATAAATGTCTTTCCATTCCTTGTCACAGAGACTTTCCAGTTTCATCTCTACAGATACACAATGTGTTGTTGTATGAGTCATCTATAATCAGATACGCCTATCTAGTACAATGGCCTCAATCTTGAGTGTGTATCAACGTTATCTCAAGGGCTTACAAAAAAGAAATTCTGGAATGGAGTCCAGGAATTCGCATAGCTTGATAAGTTCCTAGATGATGCTAATAGTCCTTGGACCTTACTTTAAGAAGCAATGAAGTAGCGTAAAGAAGGCAAACTTCTGTAACCCAGACTTATTCAGCCCACAGTCATATATTTTGTTTACATCATGAAGTATGTTTTTTAATTACTGCATTTATTTAAAAATCATATTTCATATCAATTTCTGATTTCTCCTGGAAAGTTGGAAGGCCTCACAAGCCCAAGCCCACTGGTATTTCCCATTACCCAGCACTCCCAATTCACCTGCCATTTTTCTCTTTTTTCCATAATACTTACTACCTTCTCAGCATCTGTATTTATCTGCCTTTATTTATTAAATTTTTTGATTATCTGAATCTTTCTTTAACTAGAACATAAGCTTCCAGACTCACTAGCGAGCCTGAAGCAGGCATCTTTGATCCATTAATAGCCTGAGAATGTAGCATGGTGTCAAGCTTATACATCTTTAAATGTTGGAAGATTGAATGGCAAAAAGCAACTACACCTGAGTGGCCACTGCCTCTTTTTGCACAAAAGGATATACAAGTTCCATATTGTCACTTCCCAACTTCTGTTACTTTTGTTACTTGCCTGACCCCACAGTATTTGAGTTCATGTCTGATAAAATTTATTGCTGTTTTGAACATACTGGATTCCACAGAACAATGACAGGACAGATAATAGCATTGCCTGTATATAAGTGTATAACCTAAATAAGGAATTCTTTTTGAATTGGAAGCAACCTGTTTTCTCTAATAATTTGTTCAATTAGAATGCTATAGTCTGCGATTTCTTGGTTTTTTTTTTTTAAGACATTGGCAATTGAACCTAGGGTCTTTGCACTGAGCTATAATCCCAGCCCTTTTAAAATTATATAATTTTGAGACAGGGTCTCCCTAAGTTACCCAGGCTGGTCTTCAGCTTGTGGTACACCTCCCTCAGCCTCCCCAGAATGCTGAGATTATGGAAGTGTCCCACCAAAACTGGCTTGTAACTTCTTGAAATATTTTTGATATATGTCAGACAAAAGTCTTAACTAAAATGAGCATTTTACCAAAGAATTTGACACCTTATAAATGCTACTCACTGGAGAAACAGAAAGTCATTGATGCTCCTCTTGAGGAACTGCCAGTCTAGTGGAAAGATAGACAAAACACTTTCCATAAATAAGGAAAAGCTATATGAGCGATATGCCGGGTTTCCCTGTTTGTCAGTTGCTGCCTGGGGTGAGAAGAGGAAAGGACCTAATGGCTGGCTTTATGAAGGAGGTAGTACTTAAACCATCTAGAAATGGAAGACTGCCAAGTGTAGAAAGAGAAGAAAAACAAGCCTGGGAGAAGAAACAGTACCTGCAGCACTGAGTGCTCAGCAGGCCCAGAGGGTGGCAAGTGGGTGTGACAGGGCCACAAGGTGCTGCTGGCTAGTGCAAAAGAGAAGCCAGAAAGCAGGCTGAACCATTCTCTTTTCATTCTAGGCTGCTCTAAACATGGCAGAGTTGTCAGTGCAGTCTTCATGTGTTTATTCTGTTTCTTTAGCAGCCCAAAGGGAACTTCCAGGCACAGGACACATCATCACTGCCTGTCATGAGAAACAAGCGTAAGTAGCCCACCTCTCAGAGTAGTTTTGATTTGATTGGTTCCATTGTGTGTTGTTCATTTCTTAACCCTCATCACTATTTGAATACCTATTCTGCTTTTAAGGCACTGTTGTTTTGTTCTGCAGATTCGTTGGCCAGTAGTGTAGCATTATAGCATCTAGCCATCTTCGAAGGCCTCTGTAACAGTGCGTGCATTATCTTCAAAGGCAGGACTGCAGCCTGTGTGTGAGCAGGTCCCGTGTGCAGCCCATTACCTCACAGTTATATGAATCAAATGAAATCTTGCTTGTTAAATGTGTTTATTAACAGTGAAGTTATATAAATGGTTTATTCCTCTACCCCACCCCGAGGACAAGTGGTATACCAAATCGAGTAAATCGTACTCTCCCTTCATATCAAACTATCTTCAGTCTATCTGAGGCTTTTCTTTGGTTTTACTTCATATTTTTCACTTTTCATTCTTCACCTTCTACTCATTTTTTCCTATCTGCCCTGCCTTTAGACATATGCATATCTTGGGAGGGCTCTTAATTCTTTCCGCTAAATATAAATTAGACTATTTCACTTTTGCATATGTATTCTTATTTTTTCACTCTATTATTTTGAAGTTATGCATGTTACTATTACAAGCTGTTGTTTCAGACTGCTGCTGCATGATCTCTTTCATAAGCATAGATCACATTTTAAATTATCACTTGCCCTCAAATGTTTTAAATTGCTTCCAACTCTTATCATAAATAATGTAGTAAGGGCTATCTTCTTAATTGGCTCCCTGGGAATCTATATGAGAATTTTCCAAGGCAGTGTTTTTCAAATTGAAATTCCAGGATCAATTAGACATACATATTCTTGGGCTTTACCAGACCCTACCAGAAACTCTGGGGGTGGAGCTCAATGATCTGTGTTTTAATAGATTCTCTAGATGATCTTGATATTCTCTTAAGTTTGAGAATCACTGCTATATGCTGTAGTTCTGAGTTCTTCCAGACAGCTCCAGAATGGCTATGCCACTCTATACTCCCACAGAATGTGAATTCCCTTCAGACATATTAAGTCTGGTTATGTGTCTTTACATTTAGATGACTATAAAAAATGCTTTGCCAGATTGACATCCACTTCCATTTATGATCCAGCCCATTCCACATGCCTTTTGCGAGTCTAAAACTCTTTTTCCTGTGAGATTATCTTTTGTTTCAGAAACCTATTTTCTTCCACAGCAGATAAAAAAAATTTTTTTAAGTGCCTACTATGTGCAGGTTTCTTTATGTGTATTACCTCTGACCCACACAAATATGTATTCCTATTTTATCTCACTGAGTCAGGATAGTAATTGAAAGTATCATTTATGGGTTCAGGTTACATAGGCTGAGTCCTACTAATTAGCTTTGTAACCTTGAATGTTACTAAATCTCTGTGCCTCATTTTCCTCCTCTGTAAAAGAGGGGTGATAAATCAGGCTTATCAGGGTGGAAGTCAGGCTTAAATGAGATTATAAAGTACTCAGTGGCGGGCACTCCAGAATTTGGCGGCAGCACCAGCAGCAGCATCACAGTTGATTGTGATAAGGCTCAAAGGCACAAAGTAACTTCCCCAATGAGCTGTTAGATTGGTTTCAAACAAGGCAAAGCTGTTGTTTTCAACCTCCTCTGCTGCCTCTTAGATCCAACTTGTTCCTTATAACTTTTAGGACCCTACATAACATTCTGCTTCTGTCATCTTCTCCACTCCTTTGTATACAGTTCTTCTCATCATAATATCCTCTCTTTTTCCCCTGACCTGTCCATATCCCCACCATTCTTCAAGAGCTACTGTTTCTTCCTGTTATATTTTATTTGCTCCCTTACCCCCTCCCCCAGCTTTTGAAACTCTCAAACATGCTTCAGACTCTTCACACTGAAGCATATTTTCTTTTCCACCAATTGCTCTAATTCTCTGTGGGGGCAGGGCCCGTGTCTCAAACTCTCTATGTACTCCCTACAACAAGGTGTTAGAATATATCCTGTTTTGGGTACAGTGTTTTATTGTTTTGTCTAAAATAGAATTTGAATTGGAAATTATTATATTAATATCTGTTAAACCAAAAGCATCCTGAAACAACAGCCACCCCAGTCTTACTGCCTTCAGCTCTTGACATTCCTGGCATAGGCAGATAATGGAGTTCATGTCTGGGGCACAAGCTCAGTTGTCAAGGGGAAATGACTTATTAACCATGTGCCAATATGACTGCTTTAGCAAATTAGAGCTCCAGTTTTCTTTCTGGTCATATTAAAGAGAAATACGCAGTATGAAAACCAAATAGCTTTGTGACATTAAAGTAATACTACATTTTCTTCATCCATAAATTAAAGAAATTGGTCAAAATTTATGCTCTTAGTGATTGAAAGAATCACTTGGGGAGCTGCAATGTATGTATACTCCTAGGTCCCACCCCATTGGACAAAATGGGGCTGGGAATTTCATACCTAATAAGTTCTTCAGATATTTTATGAAGGAGTTTTAAAAAGCATTAATCTTAGTTATCTCTAAGATTCCTTTTATCCTTCAAATCTTTTCAATCTTATTTTATTTTTTATTAATTTACATGTTTAAATATTAAATACCTTATCATAAATTTTTATCCTCACCTAATTTTTATCCCACATCAGAAACTCTTCTTAGTTTTTCTTTATCTTCCAGAGTTACCATATTAAAGCAGATATTAACTTGGATTATTAATTTTTTCAAGCAAAAGAGATAGCCTATTATGTACTTTGTTCTTTCCATTGATATTTTTATTTCCCCCTCTAATACACATTTTAGAGGTCTGTGTCAGTACATGGAGTGTGTCCTCATGTTGCTAAGCTGCATCATATTCTAATATATGAGGTACTGTGACTTACTAACCAGTATCTTAATACTCATTTATGTCATTTGCAGTCTTTTGCTTTTATCAACAGTGTTGCATTGAATAAGTTTGGACATGTATCCTTTCAGACATGAGTATATCTCAGAGAATATAGGCATTTACAGTTTCAGTAGTTACTTGGACACTGTCCTCTGTAGTTTTTGTACCAACTCACACTCCAAAGGGAAATCTGTTTTAAAGCATTTTGCTTCTATTTGGCATTTTAAAAATACATCAGTACTAGGTAGGCATGAATAGGTGATGTTCAATTAATGTCCATTCTGCCTTTATAGCCTCACAGCCCAAAGAGCGCCCCCGATCTGCAGTCCTCCTGGCTGAAGAAACAATGGCTCCCCCAGTGTTCGCTAGCAGACGGTCCCAGCAGAGTGTTTCACTCTCCAAAAGTGTCTCCATACAGAACATCACTGGGTAAGTGGAGGTTTAGCTAGTACAGTTGACACCTGGGTGACAGGAGCATAATAATCACATCATTTGACAAAAAGATGCTTCTTTGGAGAAACATGCATAAAATAATGGGTTTAGTACATGGTGGGTTTTGGAGAAAGGAGAAGGGAGATTGTGGATTGGATGCACACACAAAATGGCTGCCATTTTGTGATAGTTATCTCCTTTAAACACCATTAACAGACTGGTTGCTCTGGGTATTTGTACATGGTCAGTCCCATTTTTGAAGAGCCTGAGTTCTGATATATGTGCTGCCAAAGCAAGCACTAAGAGCCTGAGTTCTAGAAAGATGACTTAGTTCAAAATAAGAAAGAATAGGGAAAAGACAATAATATATAAATTTTTGTTTGTAGCTACATATTTACATTGTCGAGTATCACACTTTTCTT